AGTATTGCAAGGCAGGGTTCAGGCTGCCTGTTGGACCGGTGCAGTCTCCTTATTGTTACACTATTCCTTTGGGGAAAAGTGTCAAGATATTCAAACATGCAAATATACATGTGTTGACTATCTTGTATATTTCAGAAAATAGAATTACATATGTAGAATATCTCTCTTATTTCAGAAGATACACAAGAGAGATAAACAGGATGATAATCACTTGGATAAACACAAGAGATAATTATCCTTTGCAATTTGATTATTATTTTCATGAGAGAGGTACATTAATTATCCAGAGAGAGAGATAAATATGTACAGAGGTGAATCATTATCAATTTAAAGAATAACATTAAATAAATACTTATTAATTTAAAGAATACATATAATAATATTTATTATTATGTAACCTGGAGGGGTTAAAATCTCATGTAGACACATGGACTAGTGTCTCAGTGTCTGACAGTATTTTATCTGGTCCCCGGATCCGTATTTATTGGGGATTGGATCAAAAATAGACCCAATACCGGGTATTGGGACTGGATTGTGTTGAACTTAAGACCGAAGCGGAGTGAACTTTTTGGAATTTTTTGTGGGAAGAAGAAAAAACAATGAGGTTGTTTTATTTTTCACTGGACCGGCTCAGGTTGGCGAAAAAAGAAGGAAAAGAACCAATGGTTTGATTCACATGTAGCTAGCATCACATAAGTAGTCTATGTACATGTGGTCATACTGTGGGCTAGATTTAAAATGAATATGCAAAAAATAACCAAGGCGCGTGCATGAGTATAAGTCACACAAAAAGATAAGACAAGCTAGAGAGTTGATAAGTCAGGGATGTCAGGGTTCAATGACTACAAGACATGTGATCAGACATACATAACGAAGCATTGTACAGACTATGATGAGTGAAGAAACAAAGAGTAGAAATGATAATAATGATATGGGAATTTGGGGTGAGTAAGAGGAAAAAGATGAAATTTCAACAGATTGCTCCACCCAATCCCAGTTGTCCAATAAATTGGGATTGGATTGGAGATCAATCCAATCCTGATACCTGGTATTGGGTCTATTTTTAATCTGATCCTCGATAAATACCAATCCGGGGATCGGATTGGTTCCATTTGTTGGCACATGCCAATTGTGCATCCTGTACAGTGGGTGGACAGTGAAAAGTGGCTGCTTGTTTCGGATTCCAGAGCTCTGAAACACAAACCTGAAGTCATGAAACTTGGTCAGGTGGTGCATAATAGGTCCCAAAAAATGTAAATGAAATAATAAAAGCAAAAAATAAAGTTTGAAAATTTGTGAAAAATAAAAAATAAACTTGATTTTTTTCAAAAGCTTTGTTATTGATTTTGGGGGAGTGGGAGTGCTGAGAGAAAGGAAGAATGGAACATGGGAAGAGTGATTATAAGATGAAAAAAATTGGAACCAAAAAAGGTTTAGCCAGGTTGGTGGTCCCAGATTGGAGCCAAAACAGTGAATTCTAGTGCTTTGCTGCAATATGAGCTAGTGACTGCCCCACTCAACAGCTGTTTGAAGCCATCTGAAAACCAGTTTTTACAAAATTTTCATTTATAATCATTCTTCTTATTTCCCAATCTTTCTTTCTCTCAGCACTCCCGCTCCCCCAAAATGAATATCAAAGCTTTTGAAAAAAAATCAATTTTATTTTTTATTTTTCACACATTTTAAAAGGGCATTAATAAAAAAACGCGGTTTTTCCGCGTTTAGACGCGGTTTTGCTGCGGCACAGCGCACGCGGTTTCCGCGTTTAGACGCGGTTTTTTAATTAATTTTTTTTGCCATTAATTTCAAGTTTTTTTTAATTTTTTAAAATTGTTTCCAAGGTTATAAAATGCGTAGAATTTAATGGTAAAGTCCATTTTCCATAAAAATGACTTTTGATTATTAATTTTTTTTTTCACTCATTTTTTCCATTAATTGTATGCATTACTTTTTTTACCTTATTTTTCAAGTTTTTTTGTAATTTTAAATTTATTTCCTAGGTTTTAATGTGAGTAGAATTTAATGGTGTAATCCAATTTTTTTAAAACTCAACGGTTCTTTTTTAAAACTGAAATTAGACACATTTTTTCACTTAAATTTCTACAGGTTAATTTTCATTCTTTTTTGACATTTCAAATTTTTTTCCTACACTTTAAGACATGTATAAAGTAATGGTAAAAATTATTTTGCATCAAAATGAGAACTACATCTTGTATACTGCATTTGACACCGTTTTTGTATTTAATCCTTTATTTCCTAGGTTTAAATACAATAAAAAGAGAATTTGATTCAAATGTCTCCCAAAAATTAAAAAAACTCCAAAAAAAGAACACTCCCAATCATTGGACAGGGATACACCAATCATTTCTCCAGATTCCCATGCACAAGGCAGACTCTAGTCAAGATTATGATCAGCCTGGACACCACAACACTATCCAACGAGGTGATGCCAGCCAGCTAGTTTATGAATAAAACTTGGTACAAAGATACCATTTTGGGAATACTTGTACTTCCAAGCGCTGTCACAGGTTCAAGCCCCATTGAAGTCATTTTTGAATTTTTGAATTTATATTTGTATTCAAGATATAGTTTTCATTTTTATGCAAAGTGATTGTTACCATCATTTTGAACATGTCTCAAAGTGTGGGAAAAAATTTAGAATGTCAAAAAATAATGAAAATTAAGCTCTTAAAAATCAATTGAATTTTAAGACCAATTACAGTATTCTGAATGAACCATTGAGTATTATGGAAATTAAATGTTACCATTAAATTCTAAACACTTTTAAATGTAGGCAACCACTTTAAAATTTCAAAAAAGCATAAAAAATAAGGTATAAAAATTAATGCAAACCATTAAGTGAAAAAAGTGAGGAATTAAATGAAACAATGGTGTCAAATGCAGTATACAAGATGTAGTTCTCATTTTGATGCAAAATAATTTTTTCCATTACTTTATACATGTCTTAAAGTGTAGGAAAAAAATTTGAAATGTCAAAAAAGAATGAAAATTAACCTGTAGAAATTTAAGTGAAAAAATGTGTCTAATTTCTGTATTAAAAATGAACCGTTGAGTTTTAAAAAAATTGGATTACACCATTAAATTCTACTCACATTAAAACCTAGGAAATAAATTTAATTTACAAAAAAACTTGAAAAATAAGGTAAAAAAAGTAATGCATACAATTAATGGAAAAAATGAGTGAAAAAAAAATTAATAATCAAAAGTCATTTTTATGGAAAATGGACTTTACCATTAAATTCTACGCATTTTATAACCTAGGAAACAATTTTAAAAAATTAAAAAAAAAACTTGAAATTAATGGCAAAAAAAATTAATTAAAAAACCACGTCTAAACGCGGAAACCGCGTGCGCTGTGCCGCAGCAAAACCGCGTCTAAACGCGGAAAAACCGCGTTTTTTTATTAATGCCCAAAAAGTAATGCATACAATTAATGGAAAAAATGAGTGAAAAAAAAATTAATAATCAAAAGTCATTTTTATGGAAAATGGACTTTACCATTAAATTCTACGCATTTTATAACCTAGGAAACAATTTTAAAAAATTAAAAAAAACTTGAAATTAATGGCAAAAAAAATTAATTAAAAAACCGCGTCTAAACGCGGAAACCGCGTGCGCTGTGCCGCAGCAAAACCGCGTCTAAACGCGGAAAAACCGCGTTTTTTTATTAATGCCCTTTTAAAACTTTATTTTTTGCTTTTATTATTTCATATTCATTTTTTGGGACCTATTATGCACCACCTGACCAAGTCTCATGATTTCAAATTTGTGTTTTGGAGCTCTGGAATCCAAAATAAGCAGCCACTTTTCACTGTCTAGGCACTGTACATGTGTTCATTAGTGGTGAAACTGCACCAGTGAATGGCAACTTAATGAATAATAATCATTGAAAATCCTACCCAAATCAATTCAGAGGAATTCCTCCACTGCTCTTGAATCTTACCATCACATAAAGGGTAATTGACATTACCTGCCTCTTGGCTGCTGTTAATAAAAAGTTCCTCTCTTCCAATAGTCTCCTCAGCATTACTGCCAAAGATAACCATCCCTTTCTTTTTATTTCTCTTTTCTGTAGTACCCACTACATCTCCCATTGAGCAAGTGCCATAACTTCTCTTGCCCCACCCACACTGCCCCCTCACATTTTTTGCCATTGTCAACATCTGCTCAGAAACAGGCTTCAAACTTGCCAGCTAGCAGAAACAATGTGAAGTTAACCCTCAAATTTGTTTTTTGTATTTTATCCAAGTACTAAAGCCTCCTGCCCAGTTATATCTCACCACTCATTCTATTATGTCCAAGTTGTATATTTTTCTCATATATCTTTCTGTCACCTTTCCTAATGGTCTTACCGTTCTCCTTACAAGTGCTAGAGTCCATCCAAAGCATTTTAACCTCCTTAATCAACAAGATCATGCCATCCACTATGTCAATAGAATTATTTCAGCCTATTGGCACTTGGGCTTGAACCTGGCCTGCTCAAGAAGTGACACCAGCCACTTGAAATATTTATCCTCTCTTGTGCTTCTGTCCATGTTTTTATTTTTATTTTATAATCCTGTCAATCTGTGCTCCCCAAGAACTTGTTATGAAAAAGATTGCTACACTTGGATACCCTGACCAAGCCTCTGTACTGATCATTTTGCCATGTGCTCAGGATGAAGATCTCACTAATTTGCAAACCCCCTGTGGATTTTTTTTTCTCCTTCACAGTAGTAGTACAGCTTGCCATTGAGTCCAACTTCTGGGATGCCTCAGTTTTGCCAGGTATAGCTTGAGGTTCTCATGGGAGCATTGATGATATTGGTGTTGTGTAGCATTGTTGATCCTGCAAGCAACTCTGGGGTTGATCTCTTGTCTCACTCACCATATTCTTGTTGATTGTTGAAGTGTCCCAGTCTGAGTTCATGGAGCTGTTGGGTCAACTTACGGGTGTGGTGTATATTTATGTATGGAGACGCGCGTTGATTTAGATTATGTATACTATTGGGACTGAGGCGCGTGTGGTGAAGTGTTGGTGTTGGAGAGGAGAGTAGACTGAGACGGTAGCATCCAGATGAAAACCATTTATTGCTCAACTAGTAGCACCATCCTCAACCAGCTTTTCTAAATACTCCGGAAACACCCATCTGAGCCATCCTTTCATCTTCGAACCGAAACTTCTTACATTCTCAGTCATGGACTCAGGCGCGAGACGATTGACCAGGAGCACCTATATCGGTGAGCTCATCCCAACCAACGGAACCACTAACGATCGCAAACGGAGGAGCAGTAGCACCGATTCTGAGAACGGTTGGAGTTGAGTACTATCCTTCTCTCCTCTGTTCCTATCAGTATCATCGCTGGGATAGGCTAACTAATCAATAACCTGTTGTTGGACTCTTTAACCAGTACCACCCCCACCCCTCCTACCATTAACTACCAAGTTCTTGATCACCAATCCACAAACACCCTCTCAGATATCACTACCACCCTCCCCATCAACCTCAAATGACCCGATCTCTACCCAGATTGCTATCGCCCATCTCAAATGCCAACCCTCAAATAGCACTTCCAGTCACCTGGATCGAGCAGAAACCGCTACCATCACCACCACCCCAAACCCATCTGAAAGTTTCAGGATATTATCCGACCAGGAGCTCGTCATCCCACCTTCCTCCATAGACCAACAAGATCATGGCAGCTGTTCAGAATTCATTTCCTCAGAGACCAAGTTCTTTACTCAACGACATCGACAATCTGAGATGATCGAAAAACGTTCAAAGAAACTCGAGAAGGAGAAACTGCTTCATGAGAGGTTCAAACTGAAAAATCGCTTGGACCTATTGATGAACGGATCAGGTCCGGATTGGAAGTCAATCAGAACATTGACTCTACGAAGGATTAAGGAAGACGAATTAAGACAACGATCCGCTGGGAATCTGACTGATCATCTCCCTCGTGAGACCGAATTGGAGAAAGTAGAACGAATGAGGCGGATCATGATTCAGGAAACTGAAGAAACACTCAAGAGGTAGCTGCCACCTTGCCATCAATTTATTGTTATCATACCGCGTGTGTTTCTCTTCATTTTCATCTTTTTACTAACTCTGTCTCCTGTTATCCTTGCCAGGTACGACAAACTACTCGATACACGAAAAATCTCAAAACCTGTACCTGTGAGTGAAGTCAAACCTTCAACACCCTCGAAACCGCAAATCAAGTCTACCAAATCTCGAGCAAGTCCCAAAGCTTCCAAACGGAAGTCAACCCATCACACCTGTTCAGATCAAGAACATCATCAAAACGGTAAACTCGCGGTTCAACCACCAATCCCAAAGTTGAAGAGCGTCCCAGGTTCCGCCGTTCAAAAGCCGCGTCAACCCAGCCGCTCGATCATCAAAACCTCTGACCTCCAACATTCGAACGGCCCACAATCGACCTCATCTTCAAGTCCGGTCACTCTCCCCCAATCACCTCATATTCGACATTCTCAATATATCAAGACCGAGGAGCCAACACCACAACCGCCACCGCCACCGCCATTGCGAGACTCGCTATACGATTCAGTGTCGATCAGAAGATTGGCGATGGATGATCATTTCGTCAACGGGCAAAAGAGAGTGGGCCGATCGACCTATGCACTCGGGTGTAAGCTACCAGATATGAGCAAGATCCAACTCGACTATCTATCAAGATTGCAAGCGATGGCATCTGAGAGACATGCCTCATCCTACTCGACTCCATTCGATAGACCCGAGAGAGTGCTTCCGACCCAGCAAGACTCGAGCTCGAAGATCAAAAACGAAATCGAAGCTACTGGTGAGGATGTGGATGATGTTGATGATGATGGTGAGCGCTGGATCGAATTCAATCCGACGGTCAATGAAGAAAAGGAGATCATCTGCCACCAATCAGAGTTTGGATCAGGATCAAAATTCTTCGAGTTGGATGACGAATTAGAATATCTCGAAGAACAAAAGTGGACTGAATTTCAAATGAAGCAGTTGGGCCAAGCAAATCTGGAATCTCTTTCTGAAAGCTCTCTTCGACAGATGATCAATGGCGGGAAGTCAATTCGTAAATTGATTGAAGAACGGATCTCAAGTTGGAAAGAATAAAGTTCCCTTCTGATTGCTCTCTGTTAATTTATCAAAAACACATAACTTATACACAGTAGGGAAATCGTGGCTGTGTCCCGGGAACTATATAAATATGTCTGTACTAAGGAGATGTAACTTTTTTTTTTTTGACACGGAGCACTATTAATGGCAGGTGAATGCGCACCAAAAATACTTATGAGCTCTATCTTGAAATAAAACAAAATAAAAAAACCAATCGAAATCTTGAACTTTGTACAATCGTCATTTTGCTGTCCTGTACTTATATTTGTATTTAACGCAGTTGAGTATGATCTCAAGATAGTAAGCAATGATCAATCAGGACACTATCCGCTTTCAGAATTTGAGCTTTTCAGCTAGTAGATATTATGTGACCCATCCCCAGTAAAGAAAGTTAGAAAGGGTTGTTGCAGGACCAGGCTAACCCTTGTCAATGTGGATAACTAGAAATTGAGGATATAACCCAAATTATTTCACTGCTGATCCATTCATAGACATTTTGTGGGTGATTATGAACAGATACACTGAGATACCAAAAACCCTGGGTGCCTGTAAGTTCTTAGTATACCAGTGGTTTCATCCAAGCCTTGGTCAATATTGATACCAAAATGTAACCTGTTGGGTGCGTACTTTTTGAGATGACCAAACAAACTCGTAGATCAGATACAATACACAAAATATGTGAATTGCCAGAGGGTAGACTCTATACATATGTAGTGCCTACCCCTGAATGGCTATGGTCGAAGAATATAAAAGGGTTTGGAGACTTACGAGTTGAGATGTAGAAATAATTCAGATAGATGGGACAAAGATAAGAGATGGAAATAAGAACAAGACAAAAGATATAGAGGAGAGTAGGAAGAAAGGGAGAAGAGATCACTAGCTAAAGCCCCACTCACCGTAAATTGACACTTGTGAATCTAGACTTGGGCTTGGTAAATGGGAAATATTCTAACCTAAATAACTGTAATCTGAGGATCCTCAATCTTATATCTCTTACTCCGCTGTCCAGTCTAGCGGAGCTTAGTATCAATTCTCGGTCTTAATGTGGATAGTTAGCTACTCCAAGTACTCTTAATGGCGTAGAGGCTTGGGTTTGCTGTGGTATCTTGGTAAGTGCTTGCAGTGTTAATCATCGATACTTGCTCGATGCTACGTAACATGAATTTAGTCGATCTTGCCCAACAAACCACCACTTCAACCATTGTCCTCACTTCATGAAGACCCTACGCGCGGAACTAAGGAAGGCCCTTCGTAAAGCCCAAGTTCGATTTCGACATGACCGCCTTGACAAAGTGCTGATGACCAGAAAAGCCGACGATTGCCTTGCTCACTTCCTCAAAAAATCAGTCCACTTAATTCCCTGCCTTGGGTGACCTCCAAGACAGCTCTGGGTGGAACCCCGGGCTTCCTCAGAAATCAAATTTCCACCTCCCGGATCAACCTCCTCAGAGTCACATCCTTTTCATATCTTCTTTCCTTTTCCTTTCATTTTTCTTGTCTTTCTTCTCCTACATTAAATTTTGTTGTCAATTGCTTGCTAGTTTTCACCACAATCTTTCTTTTATTATCTCTTATGTGGTGCGTGTTGTATGCAGTTATGGGGTTACTGATGTTCGTAGTGTGCAATGCCACAGGCCAAATTCTCACTTTAAAAAAACCCACCACATAGGGATCTGGTCCGATATGTAGAAGCAGGGTGTTACATAGATACCCGGTCGAGCCTCGCTCTATGGACCGTGGTGCGCCGTGTGCCCGCCCCCCCGCTGGGCGAAGAGGACTTGTGTTACATCATACATCTTTATGATGTTCGTCATATTTCCACTTACCATCATCCAAACACCACCCAGCCTTTCTGATTACTTCAAGACCTTGGCTCGCACAAAATGAGAGCAAGCTTAGTCCAGCAACTTCGGGTACTTGTGCCTATCAAGAGAACAATTGATTATGCAGTGTGAGTCATATAATCTATCCTATCCTCCGCTTTAGCATTTCTTATTATTCGAGATCCGGTAAATCCCTCTGGCTGATCACACATTATTTTGGCTTGTTAATTATTGTCCAACCTGACCGAATCACCAATACATCTAGTAAAATTCGAGTGAATTCCGCTAAAACCGCCGTGGAGACCAATGGCGTCAAACATTCCATGGTGAGTGAATCTTCAGCTGTGAACATTTCATTGGCAAACTTTTTTTTTTTCAAAAGTGGTTCACGAAAGGAGGAGACACGGGAGGGATGACATGCATTTTTTTTTTTCGTGTCTTGGTCTCACAGAATCCATTTGACGAGATAGCGGTTGAGGAAGCGATTCGGTTGAGGGAGTTGATGAAAGAAAAAATCGAATCTATCACCCTTTTAACGGTGACCAGCCAAAAGAAAGGCGGACAAGAAGTCTTAAGAACAGGTCTAGCGATGGGAGCCGATGAAGGAATCCTAGTCGAATGGCCCGAAGGCTCGCCTGAACCGGAACCGCTCTCAGTATCTAAGACAATCAAAGCCGTCCTCGACAAACAATTCAAAGACAAGCCGATCGATCTAATCATTTGCGGCAAACAAGCCATCGATGACGATTGCTCTCAAGTGGGAGGGATGTTATCCGGTCTATTGGACTGCTCTCTAGCTCAATTTATCAGCCAAGTCAAGTTTGAAGACCAATCCAACCTCAAGCAGATCAAGATCGAACGTGAGATTGATGGCGGGATCGAGAAATTAACCGTTCCTTTACCGGCCGTTTTAACAACTGACCTGCGATTGAACGAACCCAGATACGCTTCGTAGGTCTTATTTACTGTGTCTCGATCATCCCTAACTTCTTCACTGGTTATGCTACCCTTGGGGAAAGTGAATAATTGAATTGAAACTTTCTGTTTTTCCTCACTAAAAATTCATGCACATCAACATATGTGATTGACAGATTGCCCAACATCATGAAAGCCAAGAAGAAGCCGATTACCACTTACACAGCCGACCAACTAGGAATCAACACGAAGCCGATGCTTAAGGTACTGAAAGTTGAAGAACCGCCGGCCAGGAAAGGAGGCCAGAAGGTAGATGATGTGGATGCTATGGTCGCTAAATTGAAGGAAGTTGGGGCTATATGAGAAAGCACCCATCTAGATAACTTCTTTTCGTTCTTTTTGGTTAACTCTTCGATTTTGAATATGTATACGCATTTACTACACTACAGCTTCCAGGCGGCCTCCCGGTCGTGCCCTCATATTTCATGTCATTATTAACTCCATTCTGAATTGAGATCTATTCACGTCATCTAGTCTACAGTAATTCATCATTTAGGCGCCACAAGATGAAGAAACGGGCTGGGCTCCCAAGAGATAGCCAATTACTGATGGAAACATCAAAGGAAAATGGTAATTTGTGGTCGAGATGCATCTGGCCATCCAAATGATGTTCTAAAATCTCAATTATTTCAGCGATATATCTATCTTTTTTTTTATTATTTAAGGGGAAATATTGGGGATGTCACAGATTATATCGCTGGTAATTATTACACCGAATATATCGGTGCCAAACGAGGCCTAAGATTCATGAAAGACATCTCAATAGGCTTTTTTCAATTGATCGAGGTACAAGTCATGTAGAAGCATTCTTGTAGACTACATGTTGCTCTTCAAAGAAGACAGCTTTGACTGCTCATATCCGACTTGTTGGATCACTCAACACTCCTATCAAGAAATATTATGTACTAGGAATTCTACATTTGTTGTGTCCAACTTGTTGAGTGGTATTGTAATTTCTGACATTGTATTTTTCTTTTTCTTTGCTACATACCTGTCATATCTGCTGTCGCATATATATATCACCAGTTGTATACATAGTACACCTGGGACAGCATTCAACTTGTGTGGAAGGATTCTTACATTGGAAGGTTTCACTGTTTTATTACAAGATGAAGAAATACAAAACTTGTTACACATTGAAGGGATCATAATTGACAATCAACATAATCAACATGGTACAAAATCGGAAGTTGACAAACCCTAAGAAGATTGAAGCAGAGAATCAGGAAGAATAAGAGTATATACAGGTGATGTTATTGAGCTGGTACAATTGGAAACAAGAGACAATCTAATAATTTTTGTTTTGTTTCATTTACTAGGCTTCTGGCACCAATCTAAAATGGACATTGATTTCTCATGCTTTTTACCAGAAGGATTATCTTCCTTAAGCCTTTTTGAGGATGACAATGATGAGCCAGTTGACAACGATCTACTCTGATCATTTGCTTTCCTCTTAGTCGTAAATCCCGGAAGGTTGCTTTCTTGAGTTCTTTCACTTGTCGTCCTCTTCCTCTCTTCGTCAAGCTCTCGTCTTCCTTCCTCGGAACCTAAATCAAACATTAACAACCATTTCAGCGGCCTTCTCCCAAGATAACCCAACAACCACTTTTTCACCCTTTGTTTCTCCCATGTAATGGTCAAACGGGAACATATAATGCGGAAACATACTATTCCACAAACACAAATCGACATGTTCATTTAACGTTTGCAAGTCATTTTTGGTCATCGGGATGTTACAGATTGGGCATTGCCACTTGCTTTCGTGACTGTTATCATCCTGTGGGAGCATCCTCAGTGCGATGTGAGATGGAGATAAGAAAGAAGCGGGGGAGATCGGACTGACTGGTGGTTTGACAATTTGGATGTCCTTGTTACTCGTAGTTGGGTTGGAAATCCACTAGATATCAAAAACCCAAACAAATAATCAACAAGAGTTGGTTATGGTCGTGTCAAGTAATTCAAGAAAGGTCCAGGACAGACACACTTTTTGGAGAGAATTTTCGTTGGCAGGAATACGGTTCTTTTGGTCCTGCAAATGCGAAACCTGATTAATGACAGGCCAGCGTTAGTGATTCATTCATGTATGGCTGTTGTTTAACACGGCAACCCCAACACTAACCTTGATTCCCAACAGCCTGATACTGATGTCACGCGCGCCATTACAACCGGGAACTTTCTTTCCTTGGTCAAAGGATGAATGTCGACTTTCGATCTCGCGTTCGAGGAGTAGTTTGGCATGCCTGATGGATAGAAAGAGCTTTAGAAAATGGACTCGTTATGAGTTCATGAGTGTGATACCTTGGCGAATCAGACACACTTGTACAAGTCTTCCGCTGAGGAAAGGAACCTTTGACCTAGTATTGCAGGCGTGACAGAACGACTGAGGACTTCAAAGGTATCAAGCTTGATTTTAAGAGTCAAGGTGCGACCTGCAAATTGCAGTCGAGACAGATCTCCAGCCAGCTAGATTGACAATAAGCATTCAAAATCAACTTATGAACAAGCCGTCATTTTCCGTGTGATGTAAAAAATGTCTCACCTCCTCCGATAATTCTTTCAGCTGAATTGAGCAGATTTGCAAGGTCAGCTGTAAGGTTCTTTGTCAATGAGAATGAGAGGACCATACTTTTTGGAAGAAATCTTCTTTCTTGGATAAACTCTTAAACGAAGTTTCACATCCCACACTTTGGCGGTCCTCCCTTTTTGTTTGATGAACACGAGTGAAATGCAGATGTAGGGAGAGGAAAGAAAAAACAATTGAGTATGCACTCGCTACATCCACTAAATTAGTGACCGTCAACATACCTCTGACTTGGCTTGATATCGGTTTGACCTAATCCCAAGTAAGCCTATCAACATCAACATCACCACCCGGACAGAAAATTGTGAGGACGATTGAAAAATTAGGAGACAGTGACCAAGGCCGACGGAAACTAACCCTTGATAGCAAGTCGAAGCTGACTTCAGATTTCATGAGGAGCAGCTTAGACCTTTGCTCCCAAATATCACCACACTTTTTGACCCCCAAGACTTCTAGCCAGCGCTCAGTTACTCTACCTATCTGCAGGATGAAAACGGCAAAACAGAAGGTTGAGATATGTAAGTGACAATCCGGCGTAGATCAGATTGATCAAGACGAGCTTTGGAGATTGCTTTCTTACCCCGGGCACTTTACGCACTGGCAAATCCTTCATAAACTTCATCGCATCATCCCTAGTTGGGGGGCATTCAAATTGACCGTTCGGCTTATTCAAATCTGCTGCAATCTTTGCAATCGTCACATTTGGCCTGGGAAGGAATGGATTAGTACCCTTTTCATGCGCTTGAACCAAGTGAATTTAAAATCTCTTACCCAATCCCGGCACTGACTGTCAGACCGGTGTCTTTCAAGACGTGTTGTCGCATACGTGAAGTAGCCTCGGCAGCTGAGAGATCATGATCCCGGCAGTAGGCTGTCTTTAATTAGAAAATTAACAAACAAGTAAAAATGCATTCTGTTCAGTCAAAGTCTCAACTAGACGGAAAGGAGGATTGGCTAAGGACGGACTAGGTTCATGAAGCATTCGTCTAACGAGTTGGGCGCAAGATTTGGGTCGTACTGTCGCAAGATCTTCATGATAGAATCAGAAGCAGCATTGTATTTTTTGAAATCCGGTTCGACAAAGATCACTATGGATATGATGGTGTCAATACGAGATAGATTGTCAGATTAGAATCATCCACATTGTCGGCGAGGTGAGCGAAGCGGATACTCACGGCGTGGACATAATTTGGTGGCGATGTATCCGGCCATTGCGCTTCGCTGATTGAGTTGAAAGTAGAAGAAGTTGGTAAGATATAGGGACCTAGTTGAACCCAAATCTGTGAGCAAGAGACATACACAACCCTAATGAAAATTTGAAAGGCACGAGTTGAGAGATGGATAGGATAATTTAGGTTTGTGTTTGGATGCAAGACACGTACCCATTTTCGGGCCTCGTAACTGGCAGTTGTTAAGACGCCTGAACCGACGGCAAAAGCCTGTAAAGCAAGCCGCCCGATATGGTTAGAGGTGGCCCGAGGGTGGAGTTGGGTAAGATGTTACAGACTTTGCCTTTCAGAGTAGGATTGTACATTTCTTCAACCTGCAACAAAGAATCCCCAGGTGGACAAGACGCGTAAGCTTTGTCGCTGTTTTTGAGGTGAAGGGGGATGTGAATTACTGACGGAGCAAAAGAATGCGTCTGCATCCACACAGACGATGATTTGATCCAAGATACGCGTGCGTTCCAGTGATTCGGCGATCTGTTGTGCCTCCTGTTGCTCAAAGTCTAAATTATCTCTTCTCATGGCTAATTGTCGGTCGAGTTTGATACGCTAGATAATTCAAGGAGACCCATGTATCCACCGGACTATAGGAAAAGGAGTGATGATATATGATATTTGAATATAATTGGAAGGCATACCAGTTGTTCGATCTGTGCGATCAGCCGAGCATCTTTGGCTTGTTCATTTAAAAAGTACTTGGATCCTTTCGAGCCTGTTTTTCTTTTGAACTGGATAAGTATGATTTTCTTTTTTTGAAGGATATTTGGAGAGCTGACAGTCGTAGATGATCTTGGCTACTTGATCTGAGATCTCTGAGTAATCCTGCTTTGTTTGAGCTAGGTCCTTCCCAAACGACGCAGTAAGCTTTCAGGGATGATTGATGAGGATGGTGTTGGTGTTGGTGTTGCTGTTGTTGATGATGAGTTGTTTTGAGGATGAGTTGAGGTTGTTGTTGATTGGTTCATGTTGAGTTTTTGAGTTTTGAGTATTCGATTTGGTGGAATTCGAAAACCACTCTTCACTTCACTCAACCAAACCAACAACAACAACAACAACAACAAGAACACCATGACCATCTCAGCCATCGCCGCCAGAAGATTGGCAGCAGCACAGCAACAACAACAACAACAACAACAGCATACAACCCCACAGCACTCAGCACCCCCATCCCCACAATCAGAACTACTAGAAGAAGAAGAACCAGAACCAGAACTAGAACTAGAAGAACCAGAACAACAACAGCATCAACAAAAACAACAACCAAAGACTAGATACTTCACAGCAGCAACCCCTCCTCAACCAGCCCCATCCTCAAAGAGCCCTAAACGCAGACATCAACCCACTCGCTCAGGCTTCATCGATCCCGAATCCATCTCAGATTGGAATCCGATCATCCATGGAACCAACCAAAACTACCGAAAGACAGTCGATCAAAACCAGAACCAGATCTCCATCATCGGACTCAAGACCGGCCAGGTCAGTACTTACTCAGTCCTCACCTTCACACTTTCAATCAACTCAATCTACTATCTCTCCTCCTTCTCTCTACATAGAACTTGATTCCTCATGGCACACTCCAACTCAGAATCCTTCATGGCCAAGTCGAACTCATGGGCTCAGAGATTGCTGCACCTACTCCAGAGCCCATCAATCTATTCGCACCTCCGAGTCACCCCCTACCCATCATCACCCCCAAGTCCAGCAGCCTTCCATCCAGCCGTTCGACCCCTCCCGACCATCATCTCCCATTGGATCCAACTAAATTTGATGCGATCGTCGAGCTGCAGGATTTAGATTGTGGCATTCAAGCCTTGGACGAGCTATGGTCATCCAACGGCAACAAACGTCCTATCTGGTCATCCCCATCACCCAATCCACCTCACTCCATCCATGGCCAGACTTGGTCGATCGTCCTATCCCCCACACCCGATCTGGCTCGACTCAGGCTCCCATCTAGCTGGGCATCCACCCTATCGAGCTTATCATCTAGAGATGAAGTGATCGAAGCAGGAAGAGCAGAGATCTATTTTATCGAAGGTCCCAAGAGTACCGGTAAATCAACCTTCTCAACTCTACTCATCAACTCCCTCCTAAACTCTTTCAAATCCGTCGCCCTCCTCGACCTCGATCCTGGTCAACCCCTACTCACACCACCCACCCTGGTATCACTTCACACCTTAAACTCACCCATCCTCGGTCCCTCGTTCTGCAGACTGCTTTCACCACACCAACCTTCATCACATTCGATCTACATCGGACATACCACCCCAAAGGATTGTCCGACTAGGTATACCGAAGCATGCTTAGAGCTCTTCAACTTATACACCAACCTGCAATCGGATCTCTCGACCTGCCTCTCAACCAATAAACGTAGGCGTCGTGGCCGGAATAATCAGATCGGAACCGACTCGGATCATCACTCCAAGCGAACCGACCAAATACCCTTGGTGATCAACACGATGGGTTGGACCAGAGGACTTGGTCAAGACCTGCTCAATCAACTTCTTCAAACCATCCAACCAACTCAGATATTTAGCTTCAATGAACGTCCATTGGTAGCCGATATCGTTCCATCTGAGAGACATCTTACGCTCGAGCCCATCGGCCCCACACCTCTATCTCTGCGTCTTACCCCGGCGGATTGTCGGGTCCTTGCAATCGTTTCTTACATGTATTCAACTCCATCACCACTTGGAAGCATGTTTATCAACCAGTGGGAGTTCCAGTACCCCTTATGGGCTCGGCGACCGTTCGAGGTTCGACCGGATCGCATCCAATTGCCCGATCATCCGGACTTCAATCAAGATCATCTCGGACACGTCTTGAATGGCGGACTGATCGGCCTCGTCGATCGCAGTCAAGGTTCATGGATCGGCTTCGGTCTCGTCCGGGCCATCGACCCGAATCGACGGACCATCCATCTCTTGACACCGGCATATCCGATCGCCAAACAGAACAACCCGACCGAGTACGAGTTTGTCAAATACTCCGAACCCGAGCTACCCTTGATCTGTTCCTTGAGCGACGGTACCGTCCCCTACCTCGAGAAAGAATCGCTAGGGAATAGCGGTACAGCTCCACTCACCATCGGCTCTGAAAAGAAAAGGGTCAGGAGGAACGTTCAAAGACGTTCTCAAATCTCACGATGATCAAAATTATATTAACTAACGATGGAAATTTCATGGATAATCAAGTGCAAAGCAAATATACCTTTTTCTTTCTCCATTTATGTGCATAATTTCCTACTTGATGATCACTACATTCTCAACCATTGGTCAATGACCAAATCAGGGAAGAAAAAAAAATGGGACTTGAGCACAAAGCTTTATTCTATCTTATTTTGTCATGACCAAGGGGATGGGTGCTAGTCAGACGTGAATATCAAAATTTATGTGTAAGGAGCAGCTAGAAAATTTTGTGTTCCTAGTTGAAAGCTATTCATGACACATTTTCTATGTGGTGGATCTAGGTTGGTGTTCTAGAGTAGCTGAAAGTCTTCAGAAGGAATAAGAAAACCACATAATGTGAGGTGCAGCTGTTGTTAAATGCCCATTTCATGGTCATGGCAGGTCTAAGCTGGACTTGAATCATTATATTGGTGGCATTCATCATGTACCATTGTCAATAACATCAGGTTGGTGTGTGTGTCTATGTATGCAGCTACAAAGCTGTGGATGACCTACAAATACATGGCAAATTGTCCAAAGACCTTGTAATAGTTGAGCAGGACCAAGACCTGCCCTAATCAAAAAAAAGGTGGGAGATAAATAATCCTACTATGATTTCCTTGAACTTGTCTGTCCTGATCAAGCATACCCAACATGTCTCATCTTGGTAAGAGCAACGGTGGGCCAGTTACACTAACCGTAGTGTTAGTGTAGCGTAGTGTTAGCTTTTTAAGCTACGCTACACAAAAGTTACCGTTAGTGGGAATTTTTGGCCCACTAACACTACAGGATTTTTGAAAAACAAAAAAACAACTTTAGCGTAGTGTTAGCTACCTTTAAAAAGGCACAACTAACACTACCCAAAATCCTGTTAGTGAAATTTCAGCGGTGTTAGTGGGTGAACCCACTACACTACATGTTAGTGTAACTTTTTGCAAAGTTACACTAACTGTTAGCGTAACTGATTAAAAGTTACACTAACTGTTAGTGTAACTGATTAAAAGTTACACTAACTGTTAGTGTAACTGACTATGTAGTTACATGACCACATGACTAGTGCTAGTCTACCCTGAAGACAGTGCCTGATTGGGGGGCCTACATCCAGATCCCCTCAATTGACCATCATTTTTTTTTTCAGTTGGTACTGGGGGCCACTCAATTTTAGCCCCCTGCCATTTTTTAACACTTACTTGTAAGACCACATTCCCCTGTCAGACAATTCCCCCTCTGACCATACTTTACTGGGTTCCATTCCCACACTTACTTGTGTTCAATTTCCACTACCACATCATGCAGCAAGGGGGGGGGGGGTGTTGAGGTGTATGATAGTCTGCTACCATTATGTATCACCAGAGTGTGGTGGAGCTGTTGGCATGGGCCATGACAACTACCACCCAACTGACCTGGCAAACACAAGCATCTGTAGCCTACACCACGGTCATTTGCGTGTCGCCGCGGATGTAACCGTCACCTTGACGAATCCGCGTGCGTGACTGCGGCAGTAGGCGCAGTGACTGCGCACGAAACCCCCAATGAAACCCCCAGATGTCGCTCCGCGCGGGAGCGACATGCAATTGTCCGTGGTGCTAGTTGGTAAAGGAAGCAATCTTGTATGTGACTCAGCATTGCTGAGGTTGTGAGTTCAAATCTCACTAAGCACATCCTCGTTTGTTTTTCTCCACATCTTGTGCTGTTCATTTTCTGCGGGATTGTGTGCGATCACGGGACATTGAAAATCGTTACCGTGGACCTCGGCCGTATCAGTCATATGAACATTTCACATAAGTTCTGCAAAAATCCAGCTTGACACATCAATTTCTTTAATTGAGGAGTTACACTACGCTACATTCGTAGTGTAACTTCTGATGTAGTGTAGCATAACTAGGCATGTAGTGTAGTGTAGTGTAGCTTAATTTGGTATAAGTTACGCTAAATGTTAGTGTCAACTCAGTTACGCTGTTGGCTAGTGGAAGTTTTGTTAGCTTGGAAAAAGTTACGCTACTTGTTAGTTTAGTGGCAATTATTTCAAGCTAACACTAAAAAAAAATTGATGGAAAAATTTCACGCTACGCTGGCAGTTAGCTCAGCGGTGTGTAGCGTGAACTAACACTACAGGATTTCCAGCAAAAAAAAAAGCAGCTACGCTAACATGTAGTGGCCAAATAGCGTAGTGTAGCGTAGCGGCCCACCGTTGGTAAGAGTAACTACTGGGGTCAAGATTGGCCCCACAGAATGAGAAAAATCTTATAAAATCTCAGGATTGGGGCATTGTTATAGGATAAGCCAGATTACAGCTATTTCGGAAAGGGTTGTCTTTATCATACAGCTATTTCGGAAAGGGTTGTCCACTTGGACTCGCGAAATCTTTTTTATTTTTTTATTTTTTTTATTTTTTATTTTTTTACTGAACTGGACCTGTCAGAACTGAACTATCGATGACAGCTGTACCTCCTTGGCTGTAGTTCAGTACAAAGAAAAATTTAAAAATTTTCAAAAAAAAAAAAAAATTGAGAGACAACTGGACAACCCTTTCCGAAATAGCTGTATCTGGCTGGATTGGCTTTCGCTGGATATCAACTCAAAACTACATAAGGGATTCAAATTTCATTATGGTGTTTCAAATTGCTTATTGAATTTTAAGCATAACAGTATAAAGTGATATATTGGCAAGGACCTGTCAATATACCTTAACGCTCAAATTCACAGGCCCCAGCCAAAATTGCAGGTTACATAGATTGTTAAGTAAGGGCCTGTAGTTACCACAGCCCCAATTTTGAGATCAATTTCCAATTTTCAGGTTGGAAATAGGGTGGTTGGTGCCATGTTTGAAAAAAGGGTGTGCCCAGGGGGTGCCTACCAAACCTTCCAAAGGGGTGAGCCTTTGGCTGGCGCAGGGGTGGCCTGCCAAGGCGTGTTTTTTTTTTAAAAAAATTGATAACATTCATAGTAAGAAAAGAAGAGAGAAAAACATGATTTATATGTGCAGGCTGAAAAAATGAAGCATGGTGAGGATGATTGAGAAAACCAAAGATCATTGGGATCTAAAAACTTAGCAGGGATTGGACTGGCCGAGTATGTGCTACACTTTCCATTCACCAACCCCCCCCCCCCCCCTCCTTGCCACTGCCATCTGGCTAGGGTTCCGACCCGGTGCCTCAGATCCGGGTTTCACCCCTCCCGCAGCCAAGCCTGGTGGGTATCCTGCCCCGCACTGGGTTCTTCTGGATCTTTGACATATTTTTTTTCTGCATATTCTGCTGTATTACACCAAAGAAGGGGGTCAGACAAGAAAAGACATGGTGCACAGCAGCCCCCATCCGGGGTGTATCAGGGGATTCCCCGTCAGAACCCCTGAGGTGATGCCGGATCTCCCAAGGCTGATCCCAAACCCTGAACCCGTCTACGGGTTGACCAGATTCGTCCGGATTTGCAGGGTCCAGGTCAGAACCCTACGTCTGGCCATGATCCATCATTCCAAAATTGGAAATGATCTCTCTGACAGCCTGTCAGTCCACAAGTCCAATGCATGGCTCTGTCAGGGCCCATCATTGTGCAGGGAGAGCCGCTGGACTCTCCAGGCCCTCCCTGCAAAAGTTAAGGTTAGAGGTGCGCACCATGTTGAAACTTCATCTCTTTCCTCTTACTCACCCCAAATTCCCAGGTCAATTACAATCATTTCTGCTCTTTGTTTTTCACTCATAATACTCTGTACAATGTCTAGTTATGTATGTCTGATCACATGTCTTGTAGTCATTGAACCCTGAAAAAAACAAAAAGATCAAAAACAAACAAGAAAAAGAAAATAAGCTGTGGTGGTATGGTACAGGCCCTAAACCTTTATGTATGCAATTTTGAACACCATAAATTTTTGAACCACTTTCTACTTGAAATCATACACCATGGGTCAATATTTTTTATTTGACTGCATTGGCTTGACTGCGCAGTTGAAGACAGGTTGGCACCAACCTGGTGGGGGATTGGACAGGCCAATGCCGGCCCAACCCAGCTGACCCATTGGTCGGCCTAACTCTGCCAACATGTTTTGTCCACAGGCTTTGTAAAACATTGGTTGTGTCAGCTCTGGTCTCTTAGGTGACCAAGAGTTGATGGGTTATAGGGCCACACTATAGCCACAGAATTGGTCTGTGGAAATAAATCTCACCTCAACACTTAAGAAGTGGAGGGGCTAGCCCCTTATAATTTTTGAGGTGTATGATAGTCTGCTACCATGATGTATCACCACAGTATGGAGGAGCTGTTGGTTTGACCCATGATTACTACCACCCAACTACCCTGGCAGTCACTAGCCTAGTTGGTAAAGGCAGCACTCTAGTATGTGTCTCAGTGAGTCTGAATCTCAACAGACACATCTTCATTTTGCATGTCTCTACAATAATAATAAGGGAAAGCTGTGGAATGAGCTTCACAGTGCCTGAGCTGTTAGAATTGAGAGAAATAAAGTTGTACTAGCCTTATAAGTTAAAGATATAACACATATAGACTAGTAATCAGGATAAAGACAAATGTACAACAGTAATTTAGATAATATACTACTTAAAACCCCACTCACTATTGATTTATATTAGTAAGGTTGGTGGGTTTGTAGGTAATGATTGTCTGGGGGATGAATCTCAGGGAAAGAGTCATCCCGTGAAATATTACATAGCAGGGGTCAAACTGCTGCTGGGACCAGTGCAGCCCCCTTATTGTTACACTTTTGCTTTGGGGGAAAGTGTCAAGATACTTCAAAATGCAAATGTACAGTGGGTGGACCGTTATTTTTGGCTGCTTGTTTTGGATTCTACAGCTTCAAAGCACAAACTTTGAGTCGCAAGACTTGGTGAAGTGGTGCAGAATAGGTCCCAGAAAATGAATATGAAAAAAGAAAAACAAAAAAAAAAGTTTTAAATTTTGTGAAAAATAAAAAATAAAAATGTTTTTTTCCAAAAGCTTTGTTATTCATTTCGGGGGAGTGGGAGTGCTGAGAGAAACAAAGAGTGGAACATGACAAGAATGATTATAAATGAAAAAAATTGGAACCAAAAAAGGTTGAGCCAGGTTGGTTGTCCAGATTGGAGTCAAAACAGTAAATTCTAGTGCTTTACTGCATGTGAGCTGGTGAATGCCCCACTCAACAACTGGTTAAAACTGTCTGGTAACCACTTTTTCCAAAATTTTCATTTATAATCATTCCTCCCACTTTCCATTCTTTCTTTCTCTCTGCACTCACACTTCCCCAAAATGAATATCAAAGCTTTTGAAAAAAATCAAATTTATTTTTTATTTTTCACAAATTTTGAAACTTTGTTTTTTGTTTTTATTTTTTCATATTCATTTTTTGCAACCTATTCTGCACCACTTGACCAAGTCTCATGACTTGAATCTGGTGCTTTGAAGCTCTGGGATCCAAAACAAGCAGCCAAAAACAACGGTCCACCCACTGTACATGTCTTGAATATTACTCTTATTTCAGAAAATAGAATTACATATGTAGAATATCTCTTATTTTGGAAGATACACAAGAGAGATGTACAGGATAATCATCACTTGGATAAACGCAAGAGATAATTATCCTTTGTGATTTGATTAATATTTTCATGAGAGAGGAACATTTGTATCAAGAGAGAGATAACTATGTACAGGGGCAAAAAAGGTTACAGAGATGAGGAATTACAACACAAAAAAAAACCAACTTCAAAACAAAAAAAACTCCAATGGCTTGACAAACTTGGTTACTCAAGATCAAAAGGAATGTAGTCTTCAAGAGCGGAGGATCCCGATCTACCAATATGATATGGCTTGGTGGTAGACTGGAAGTGTAACCCAATGGTGACATGGGTTCAAGTCCTGGAGTCGTTTATTTCTTTGGATGTGCCCAGTGTAACCCATCCATGTGTCAATGCCAGACAGTAAGCCAACAGGGGCCCTAATGCAAGTCCAATGTTGTCAGCCTGGGTGATGCCAAGAGCTGGTCTCTTCTAGCTACACCAGGTGCAAACTAAGAAAATGGTATGTACAAGTGTGGGTAACACTTGGAAAGGGGAGTTTTTGATATTAAGAAAAAGAAGAAATAAAAACTATTAAGTTTTTATAAAGGGAGGGGCCTGAGTTACAGGGGTTTTTATGGTGCCCTCCAATCCATTCAGGACAGCTTAGGTGCCGGGAGCGAGTGAGCTACCCTCTCAATCACACAGCGCATGTTGGTGCTCACCGCGCCTTGTAATGCTTACATGTTCAGCGCCCTAGTTAGGGCACCTAGGGAATCCCGGAGGCTCTGGGGGGCCTCCCAAGACTCCCGTGTGTGGGTCAGGGGGGGGAGTGAACTTACGTCTTGAGGACATGTGTCTCCTCAAGACGCGCTCTGCCGGACCGGCTAAGACGTTCCGGGACCGATGCCGCCGTGTTAGGGAAGCATCGGAACGGAATCTGTAGCTGGGACCGGGAGAGGTAGAGACTCCCCCCGGAGCAAACAAGACACCCCCAAAGGGGTGGAGCAACCGCCAGACCAACACTTGTGTGTGGGTCTGTGTTTGCACTGTACCAGGGTGGGTGGGTGGTTCCGAAAATTTTTCACAGATTGAGTGAGACTCTAGGCGGCGGACAGGGAGTGGGGAGTTTGCCTGAGTCTGCGGAAGGGAAGAGGATGGGGGAAAGAGGAGGGAACGAGGGCGAGGGTAGCTGGACTATGAACTTTCCATTCAAGCCGTCCTTGCCCTCTTCTCCCGGCCAGCTCAAGCCACGGCTTCCGCCTCTGTATCTACAGGCAGGCGAGGCGCCTGTAACGAGCACGCCTTGCAGCGTCTGGGCTTTCGCCGAGGGAGTGTAGTCCCCCATGGACACACTATAACTCCCGCTTCACTTCCGTCACCGTTCCATGAATCAGGACCTGTTATAAACAGGGGTATTTTTTATGTACCTGATGATCTGGTCCTTTGTGTAAAGGAGTATGCCCAGACAAAATGCCTACAACTGAAGTATCAAGGAAATATTACCTACTTGTACTATTTCCAAGCCAAGGGGGACTTCAGGAGGGGGAAAACTGGTCTGGAAGCGCTCAGAAAACTGGGTAACAGGTGGTGAGAGAGTGCTGGGGAACAGTTGATGGTTGGTTGATTGAAATTCAGGATGAAAACAGCAGGAACTGGGCCAAAACAGGTGATAAACTGGTTGTTGGAGGTGGTTAATGCTGGTAAGTGATGATGAAGATGGGGAATTTGAGTTCGTGGTCAAGAAGGGCTCCTTATATACTCATTCTGGGCCCTTGGAGGCGAACTCAGAACTCTGTTTGGCTGGTGTAAGCCTCCTACTAGGCATTGGTGACCTGTAGCACTGCCTAGACACCTGTAGTCCTTGGTTACAGGTGGCAGAGGGTTGAAGTGAGGCTTGTAACACACACTAAGGAGTGCTGTGACGAACCTGCAGCCATGGTTTGGGCACTGGGACCCTTTAATGACCAGTGGGCTGGTCTTAACCAGGCGTAGTTAGCCAAATTGGGCCAAAAAGGGCCACAAATGGCTTTTGACCAGCCAGTTACAGTTGTTGTGACAATGTAGTTAAGGTTTCAATGATGTCAACCTTATTTGTAGATTTTTCCCGAACTGCATGAACCTTAATTACATATGTAGACCTGTCACAACATGTAGTATGATGTAACTGGGAGGGTTTTTAGCAAAATGAGCAAGTGTCACTCAGAGTACACAGAAGTACCTGAAGGAGTAATAATTCAGGGGTACTTCTGGTGAGGTACCCTAGGTTATTTTGCATGAGAATTAAGAATCTGAAATAATATTCTAACTTTTGCTTAAGGTTTAGAAGTTATTTGTAGATTCATGTTAAAAAATGTTTATTTATAAATGTTTTTGGTTTATTTTTATGTTTTCTTTCATGACTAGTAAAACTTAATGTAATGAGTAATAATGTCTCTATTATAGTGATTCCACTTATTTAAATATTAATGTTTTTATATATTCATATGTAATAATGTCTCTACATTATGTACATATAAAATAGACATTAATTACATATGCTATGGGGGTAGTATATGTAATAATGTCTCTAAATATTTATGCTATGGTCAGGTTGTCTCTGAATAGTAGCAGGCTGACAAATGTTGGGAGCTATCCCAACGGCAGCACCAACAGAAGGCCGGTGTCAGCTGCTATTCCAACCGTGGGCACGCATGTGAAGCCAGCATGGGAGGTTGCACCGACTGCAGATGCCAATAACTCCTGAAAAGAAGCCCACCAAAACAGCTGGGTGGGAGTGGTGAGGTTGGCTCCACATGAAATTTAACATCACCCCAAGGTGGGTCAAAGTTTGTAGTGTAAACCCAACCAGTGAGTTATGGTGTCCAAAGTTATGTATGTAGATCTGCAAACAGGGAGCAAAAAAACAGCACATGATCCTTATGTATGTGTTAGCAATTCGGGTCCACCAGTTGAAATGATTGGAGATTTTTCATAAGGATGAAAAAATTGAAATTTATGCATGATAGGAAGATTTATTGAAAAAACTTTCAAAAATAAATGTACCCTGATGTTGGACGTAGCAAAACATGCATCTGCCCCCCAAAACCAGATATTCCATGTAGCAAAAACCCAAATTTTGCAAGTTTTACATTAGGTAGCTTAGTAGGGGCTCTCTGGGGTCCTACTATGCATGCATATTTCATAGATAATCAAATCTTATTTGGTGGGAAACTTCCAGATTACATAATCAGATTGTGAAGATTCCCTGCCAACTAATAGACAAGCTAGTTGTAAACACACTTAATGACAACAGAATGTTGTAAGTACATGCGGACAAGTCTTGAGTAAGACAAAGTTAAGCACACCTGTGGGTGATGAGGATGTTGCAAACAATGATTAGTTAAGTTGATTATGAAATGAAAACAATGAGAATGAAATACAACTGGTAGGTGAAAATGAGATGTATGACATTCTACAATTAGGCTTAGATTTCTAAGTTCAACTCTGATTATGATCATGTGCACAGCACTTGACCCATTGGTGTTCTGGAGTTGGCTTGTAGTTCAATACCAACAAAATTTGATCATTTATGAAATATTCATGCATAATTGTGTGCATATTTGTTGGAATTTTGCCTCTTTTCTTCTCATCCCCAAAAAACCCATCTATCACTTCTTTAAAAATAATCATGTTTTAAAAAAAACACATATGATTTTTACTCTGTTTTTGATAGTTTCGGTGTGGTATCTTGTCATGTTGTCTAGTGCTGAAATCCTTGTAGTCTTCAAACCCTGGTCTAGTCTTTATCAACTTTCATTTATTCCAGTCATCTTTTCAAACATATGTTAAATCTGTTTTATTCATTTTGATATTCATTTTTTTCTCAAACCACAGATTGAACTTCTTGTATGTAGTCTATTTAACGCATAGGCCCTAACAGTGAACAAAAAATCATTGGCTCTCTCATTCATTTCCTGACCCCTGAGTCAGTCCAACAAAATTCATTTTTGTTGCCCCCAAAAAATTCTTTCTTCTCAAAATAATTCTCCTTGTGCTTGGTTCAAATTTCTTCAATATTTATATCAGCGGTGGGCCGCTACGCTTTTGCGCCAAAATTTTGTAGTGTTAGCGCTTTTGTAGCGCATTTTTGCTACGTTACGCTGCGCTACAGCACTTTTAGCGGTAAAAGCAGCTAAAAACCACTAAAAAGCGCTGTAGCGCAGCATAGTGGGCCCTTTTTTGCGGCCCACACGTGTAGCGTTAGCGGCGTCGTGGCAGAATTCTGCTACACTACGCTTAATGCTAACGGGAATTCCGCTGCGTTATGCTACGCTAACCGCTGCATTATGCTACGCTAACCGCTGCGTTATGCTACGCTAACCGCTACGGTTAGTGTAGTGGCCCACCCTTGTTTATATAGCTTTGAACACCATCATTGATTTTATGAAACTTCAGATTTCTCCCTATTTGGGGCTGTTTTCAAGAAAAAAAGAAAACTTTATGATTTTGTTGAGAATGCAGGCTCAAAATCAATTTCCAACACCCCTCATGTGTTGCTAGAAATGCATTTGTGAAAAGCTATGAAGCTATGCTTTATTCACTGATCAAGCTCCAGCATAACCACACAAGATTTCCTCAAAAGATGATTGAACCACAAGGGATCTGACAGTTTGGCAGAGATTTATGGGTAGGATAATTTTGGTTCAAGTAACGCCGAGTTTTCTGATAGGGAAACTGATGGTTGCATGATTTGTAAAAAATAAAAATTCAAAAGCTCTTCTGTGGTTCAAAATGGTTACCACTGATTTGATCAAGGTTTGGGGTGACATTATAAAATCACAAGTATGGTTCCAAGTGAATTCATTTGCGGCGGCATGATAGTACACACGAAATTCCATCGAGCTCCGTATCTCAGGTCATCCGTCAAGCTATGATACTACATAGATGTGCCGGAGAGGCAAGATTTGGCAAATTCTCAAATTGCACCCTGTACATATTTTACAAAGCTGTCCGCGATTCCATCCTCGTCGTGGGACGAAGTTCCTCGTCCAGCAGCGTTAGCCTGCTTGTGCATCGTAGTGTATTGTCGCTTCAGCCGCTGTAAGACTCCAACGTTAACAGTCTTTCCCATGGGGATATTGATTGAGAATACGCAGGATTTCCCTGAGTGGGGGAGCACGCAGGGAAATGATACAAGACCGCATCGATTCTGAGACTCGTTTACGGCAGACAGGAGGCTGGTGAGTACTGAAGTCGTAGTAATCTCTAAGACATGGAGGAAATTGGTTGACGTTGGCGTAGCCTGTCAAAGTGGTCAAGGAATTCGGTCAGCACAGATTGTTATATCTGAATCGTATGACCTTACCGTTTTCACCGCAGCATGGACAGGTTTGAGATCGCCTTTGGTGATTGCTGTCCATATGTCCTCCGCAATCCTCGACCAACGCGCACCCTCTTTTGTTGATTGGCTGGACTTGATCCCCTCAGGTGCAGCTGTTATAGGTCAGCCAAACCATGTGTCGGTCAATTTCGCTATTGTTGATGGAGAAAGTGAGAGGTTACCTGATTGGTTGGGTGGCTCTGAACCCAGCGGTCGGGCTGTTGTTGAATCTTGTTCTTCCCCGTCATTACCCAGGACCCGAAGACCTTGCAGTTTATGAGCGAGGCCTGGCGCATTGTCGCCAGCCACACCGTCATCTGCTGTTGACACCAATGAATCGCACCAAGGGAATACAATCAAGGGAGAGTCCCATCGAACGCTTGAATTGGGTTCTTCATAACGAGTGAACAGATTCTGGATAGTTTCTTCCTTGTAGCAAGATTCCGGAGGGAGTTTGGCATTGTAGGCTAGACAGTTAGCCTGTAGGTTGGCTACGTGAATCTAAGATAGACAACATATACTGGGATGAACAGGACATTGAAACCTGATTGCTTGAAGGCCATAAGAAAGCCTACTGACCGTGCATGTCCGAACCCCGGCTTCCCGGGCAGCGCAGTACAACTGGTATCGAAAGCCCTGTGTATCAGAATCAACGAAGCTGTGAGTCACCTCGTGCATGACCTGCTGGCAGAATGAACGCAAAAGATTCTTGGGTTGACCTTGATATAGTTCATCCCATCACAAATCACGATGTGATCCTTGCTGAGTTTACGAATGGTGGAGGATAGTAGACTTGCCCGGGCCACCTTCTCCGTCTTGCTTTCTGTGATCCTGGAAATGCTCGTCAAATTCGACCCCATCAACAGCCACGACCACCCCGGCTTAACCGAGCAGCTCACCATCGTACGCAGAGCGAGACACCCCCAGTAACTCGTCATTGATCACGATCACATTCCTTGTGGCAAGATCACCGCCTGCCTCATTGATCTTCGACTCTAACATTTCCTTGATTTGATGTGCTCGAGTGGTTTTCCCCGAGCACGGAAAGCCGGAGACGACAACCAATGCCATCGGGACGGATTCGGATAATATATTAGCGGAGGGAGAGCTCAGACTCGGAGGGAGGTGGTGAATGGGACCGGCGTGAGTCCCTCGCCGTGCTCTGCGGCTCGCGAGTTCCGTGAGTGGGCCGTGTGACAGCTAGCGTGAACGGCTTGATGACAGATCCCGAACAGGCTCGACCTAACCCTAAGCTGATGATGATACTCGGATCTCGAAGATGTCTCAGCCCATCCGTCCGAACCTCAACCCCCTCTTACCCACTTAGGGTTCTCCCCCCGAATATCAAGCACCAACACTCCCCTTCGGCTTCCCGTGAGTGACCACCCCCATCCGCCGAGGCCGACGATCAGGACCGCACTACTAACCCAAGGTTTTCCCTCCTACCAGTCTTTTTCGTCACCCACCGGCAAACTCAGACGAGATGGTTCAACGAGTCACCCTCCGCACCCGGAAATCATACAACACCACCTCCAACTTGAGACGAATCATCAAGACACCCGGTTAGCCCCACCCAGCCGTCTTGACTACCTACTTGAGCATACGAAGATATCTATCATGTCTGACAAATTATCTCTTGTCATTTTCGAACGTCCCCACCAGGTGGCAAACTCTCGTACCTCCGACTTCACAAGCAGGCCACCTCTCCAAAATGTGGTGACTGTCACACTGGTCTCCCCGGTGTTAGCAACTCTTACAATTTTTCAACATTGCCTCGTCTCGAAACGGTCTTGCTCAATCATCCTTGAAATTTTCTTACATCACCTTCCCCAGGTCCCTGCTCTCCGACCTGTACGGTACGCAACTGTCTCCAAGCGAATCAAAACCGTCCAACGACCTTACGGTGGTTCCCGTTGTGGAAACTGTGTAAGAGATAGGTAAGCCACCCATCCGCGTTCTTGGTCTTCTTCGTCATCCAAAAATCCAGTACTTGTTCTGAATCCAAGCAAACCTCTTCGCTTCTGCAGAATTGTCCGAGCCTTCTTGGTTGAAGAAGCTAAGATTGTCAAAAAGGTGTTGAAAAGTCAAGCCGTCCCTACGAAATCCAAGAAATAAAGTTGCCCTCCTCTTGGTTCAATTGAACTCGACCGACCCTCACCTGTTTATTTGAAATTTACTGCAATCACCGCTGAATGATTTCTCATATGCCACTCAATGCCATCACTCCGAAAAGCCCAAGCCCCATGCAACAACTTTATCAACCTCCCTTCCTTGCAGCCCAAAGTATAATTCATCTAACCTGGCTTGAGAATATGCATTGTCCCACCCTCTTCTATAAGTTGGATGCTGGCTCTTTTGAGTGGACATTCCTCCGCAGTCTTTTGTTCTGCGCCTCACGATTTTACCCGCTAAGCAACATGACTGCTCCAGTGTTGCGCGGTAACTTGCCAGGTGAATGTCTGCAGGCATCTAAACACAGTTGGTGGAAGACATATAATATCATGTTTGAGAAAGTGATTGTGCTGTTGCTATTAGCTTGGAAAACAGGTATAGCCTGCATTGTCGCTGACTGAGACCGTGGCCTGCCACCGCAGAGGCTCCTTGTTTGGACCAACGAGCCCGAGAAATGGTAGGACTGGCTACGTCCAACGGGTCTTCACGGCAGGCCCGGTGTTTGCAGGCTACGGAACCGGCCCCGCACAGGGTGTTGAAGAAATCTGGAGAGGCTTGCCGGGGCAATCCATGCCGCCAGTGTCGATCTGTGGAAGTTATGTGAAGTCGATAGTGTAGGAAACGCACAGACGACACAGATCCTGTTCGAATGAGCCATCGAACTTGGCCGAGTAATTCTCACATTCTTCTCTCCGGGAGCCCAGCCCGGCATGTCCTGGAAACGCAATTCTACTGGAGTTTTACCTGACCTAACAGTTTCTGCGCGCTTCAACTCCCTGCCTTACCATATGTACTGTCGCCTCTGCTAGTAGATTGACAAACTATGGACTTGAGGAACTTTGCGGACACTGCTTGTAGCTGCTTGTGTGTCTTGCTTTCCCTGCATGAGCCCATATGGCTATCACACCGACAGGTAAACATTCTTTTTTTTTTCATCAGTTGTTGGGCCGGGGTACACAGTTACGGATTCTACTACATCATAGAAGCTCTCAGTTGCGATCTGCAATCAAGGGGCGACCATACATGCTAGGCATCGTACTGGAACTGTCGGGGGTGCAAGTTTTACGCAGATAGGGAATTTAACGTCTTTGGGCAGAGAGGGAACCTACCCGAATGAGATGGTCAACCTATTGCTATATCTTGCAATCGTCGGAATCTTGAGGTCTACATTATGACTTGGGGCACAATGGACACTAGACTCCCAGCAGCGCGGAATCGATGCCAACTGCAAAATTTGACCCCTCTCCATGCGGCCCATCCATCGAAAGATTGCAGGGTGACTCCCTCTGGTATATACTTCTAGCCTCTTAAGGTAAGAGAGCGAGGCCACTTCAAGTTCGTAAGACGTGCTCGTTTGCGGCAAACTTTCTTTTCTACCGGCCGGTTTGGTTTGGAGGAAGACGTTGGCCACTGATGCTAAGTTGGTGGAAAGTATGCGAGTCAAAACTCAAGAATCAAGGGAGGATGACCAGGAGAAGGGAGCTAATTCAGATATTACAACGATCCCTCTTGAAATTCTCCCTCGGTGTCCTAACGGAACGGCTATCATTGTATGCAGGGTGTCGTTTTGACACGTTTTCTATCGAGCATCGGGCTGATGTCGAGGGTGGGACAGGTGTGGCCATGGGTCAAGGCCAGGCGGAATACGACTTGGCTACTGGGGTGCTTAAAATGAAGAGGCCGATGGGTATTCCCTCAACTACCCAGCCCAGCTATTGCCTCATCTCTTCGTACTCCAGCGACAATCCACGACCTTGCCATACTACCTTCCCGTTATTAAAGACAAAAAAAATCAATCATGTTCCTTTCAAGCACCCCAATGGTGATGACCACCCTATTACTCAACAATATGGTTAGTTACCGCGTCTGTTCTTCTCGCTCAACCAGCGCGCTATTTGAACTCCATGCCCTCACTGCCTAACCCTTTCACTGACCGTTGTATAACACTGCCCGTGTGTCCAGTACCTAACTTCCATCTTGGGAGCGGTCCCACCCCCCGGCTTTGCTCAAAATGTGGCCACTCAGGGAGTCCAGGATGCATCGCAAGCGAACATGCAAGTTCCTGCGGTGATGAACTCCACTGCTTCGCCAATGAATGCCACTGTGATGGCGGGAAATGCCACCGACGCGGGTGGTTCAATCATCCCCGGTCTCCCGAGCATCTTCCCGAAGCCTTCATCCGGTGGTAGTGGACCTGGTTCAGGGTTCCCCAAATTCCCCTTGCCGAACGTCACGCCCTCGGTAAACCAAAGCTGTGTCGCTGGAATCAAGAGCCTTTTCGCCGCGGCGCAAGACTCAGAAGGACAACCTATGCCCCGAGAGAGGGTCTCCTGCTTCAAGCCCTACACCAAGGTTCCAGACGGGGAGAATTTGGTCGTAGCCTCGGTCGATGCTGCCACTAACGTTACTGCTAGCATTTCGCAGTTGGTTCAAGATGAACTCCGGCAAAAGGATCACGGCTGCCA